ACGTTGAGCGTTAGCAATATCATCCGGAGCGTAATTTTTATTTGAAGAATACCCTTTGAAGAGCAGAAGAATAGGAATTCGACAACAGAATCATATAGGCCAAGAATGGCTTCGTTCTCATTTTCAAAAACTTCAGAAAATTTTTTGGATCACTTTGCTGTAGTGAGTGATGAATTTGGACAATTACATGAAAGTAAGTGAACCATTTGGTCAAAATCAAAACGAGAAGGGTTAATTATTTGGCCGCTCAAAGCAACAAAGAAGTAATAAATCATTTACGCTATTTCTTTTCTAAAAATCAAATAGTGAGATTCAAAAATTTGCTACTCGAAAGGAATTTAAGAATGAATTGAAAGATCACCTAAATATCGTTCAAATTTTATCGCCCACTAACTTATTGCCCTTTTTATCGTTCGATGATTAGGCTTTCGAGAGCATAAGAAGTTATTACTTTCAAAGCGTCGCTTTCCTTATCTCGAAATGTTGTGTTTACTTTCACTTGCTGCAAACGAAGTACACAGCAATTGTTACAATTTATCAGTTCGAGAATTTTGCGAAATTGTGTGAATTATTTCGGTTGCTGATGTCAAAATCATGCAATTAGATGGTAAAAAAATCGTAAAAAATTTTTACGGATTCACTTTCCAAAAAACCAAAGCAGTGAAATATTGCTAGAAGTTCACAGCCACCAGGATTCAGAATCCGAGATCGACCGACTCTTTGCTGACATTCGTGATGCAGCCATAAATGGCATTTGGATGGAGAAGAATGTGACCAGCTCTCCAAATTGGTCATTTGGACAAGCATTTTTCTTTGCTGGTACTCTCGTCAGTACAGTTGGTCAGTGTTATTCACTTTCACAATGAATTGGCCTAGATTATAGGATCGTGGTGGTGATTCTTTTATGCATGAATTTTTATTTTTTCCAGGTTATGGCCGAGTTTCACCAAGAACAGAGCATGGAAAGCTATTTACCATAGTTTATTGCATTATTGGTAAGTTATCTTCACTTACTTACTGTCAGTAATTTCACAAATCTCTTGTGATCAATGTTTCGCAAAATACATTGGAAAAAAATTTAGTCTACAGGCTCCAAGAAGGAAATGAGCAGGCTTTTCCTTCTTCAGTAGAATAATCTGCTTGTATAGCATCAAAAGCTTCATTTTTCAAATTCTCATTTTTTGGAACTGCAGTTGTTGTAAATGAGAGAAGGTCTACATGAATTGTAGGAAATACTAATAATCAAATATAGACGAAACGGACCTTGATTTTTTTACTAAATTTTTTTTCAGGAATTCCTCTAACATTAGCCCTGCTATCTGCCATAGTGGCCCGGTTAAGGCGACCGTCACAACTGTTACGCGGGTTCCTCAATCAAAAATTAGCCCATATTTTCCATGCCGGTCAAATTCAGGTAAATTTGCATAAGATTTTGTCTCTTTCAGATTTTGAACTATGTGTGATTATTTTGCAGATGTTTCACTTAGCAACTGTATGTACCCTACTTCTCGTATTCGTCTTCATTATACCGGCTTGGATTTTCACAAACATTGAGCCTGAATGGACGTTTTTGGATGCATTCTATTACTGTTTTGTGT